CGTGGCATCCTTTCATGACTTGAGTTTAGAAAAACCTTAAAATATTATATAAGATGTCCAACTCTAATTAGTATGAGGCCTTTTGGGAAGGAGTCCAAGAACAAATCCATGCGGGTTTTGCCTCTTGGCCCAAAGCGGACAATATCATACTAATGGGGGAGTTGGACATCGGCTTTAAAAGCTCCAATAAATGGTATCAGAGCCTAGGTTCAGAAAAGTGGACCTGGAGAAGAGGGTTGGACATGTTCGTTGTGGGAGAAGAGCCCTCAAAAGGTGACTTCACGAATAAAGGTACCAAGAGTAAAAGAGGTACAAGAAGGGCACTAAGTTTCGCTGAAGGTAGAAGTCCACGAGTTTATGTGGTATTTGGTTTGAAGGGGGATTGTTGGAATATCAATCCAAGTCCCACATCGGAAGTTTAGACAAGAATTGTCTAATATATAAGTAATGTCCAACTCCAATTAGTATGAGACCTTTTGGGAAGGAGCCCAAGAATAAATCCGTGCGGGCTTTGCTTTTGGGCCCAAAGCGGACAATATCATACTAATTGGAAGAGTTGGACATGGGTTTGGAAAACCCAAAGCGGACAATATCATACTAATAAAGGAGTTGGACATGGGCTTGGAAAGCCCCACATTGGTATCAGAGCCTAGGTTCAGAAAAGTGGACCTAGAGAAATGGGTTGGACATGTTCGTTGCGGGAGAAAAGCCCTCAATAGTTTATTGCGGCTTTTAAAGCCCATGTCCAACTCCCCCATTAGTATGATATTATCCGCTTTGGGTCCAAAGGCAAAATCCGCACGGATTTGTTATTGGGCTCCTTCCGAAAAAGCCTCATACTAATTAGAGTTGGACATTACTTATATATTAAACCATTATTGTCTAAACTTCCGATGTGGGACTTAAATTGATATCCAACAATCCCCCTCTTTAAACCAAGTACCACATAAACTCGTGGCCTTCTACCTCCAGCGAAACCTGGTACCCTTCTTATACCGCTTGGCACCTTTATTCGCGAGGTCACCTTTTGAGGGTTTTTCTCCCACAACGAACATGTCCAACCCACTTCTCCAGGTCCACTTCTCTAAACCTTGGCTCTGATACCAATGGTGAGGCTTTTTAAGCCCATGTCCAACTCTTCCTATTAGTATGATATTGTCCGCTTTAAGCCAAGAGGCAAAACCCGCACGGATTTGTTCATGTGCTCCTTTCCAAAAGGCCTCATACTAATTGAAGTTAGACATTACTTATATTAGACAATTTTTCTCTAAACTTCCGATGTGGGATTTGGATTGATATCCCAACAAAAACTACTCTCTTCTTCCTAACCACTTTGAAATTATGTTTTTTAAGAGAAATTCTGAAATACCTCATTTCAGAATTTTTGTGCCTACGGTTGAAACGTTCTTATTCAAGTTAATCCTTATAAATCTAACTT